CCTCAGGCTTCCAAGTAGCTGGGACTACAGGTGCCCGCCACAACGCCCAGCTATTTTTAGAGACGAGGTCTTGCTGTGGTTCAGTCTGGTCTGGAACCTATGAGTTTAGGCAGTCCACCCACCTCAGTCTCCCAAGTGCTGATTACAGGATTAAGAAGGGATTACAGGCATGGGCTACCACTCCTGGCCTTAAGATGTAGTATCTTTAATAAACAGACTGAGTATGTTCTTCTGATCCTTAGCGGGTTAAACAGAAGCTTTTATTGTAATCCTGGCCATTCAATAATGAAGTGAAGGTATGTGGAGAGTTTAAATCAAGGCACTTCCCTTTTCTAGGGTGTTGACAGTCTTGCAGGAGCTGAAACGTTTGCTGAGAGAACTCAGTGTGTAGCAGGCAAAAATAAGGGGCCTAGATGCGAAGGCTGATGTAACTTTTACAGAGCAGTTGAGATTTGAATTGTTTTTGTTTTTAAAAGCTTTTTTTTTAAGTTTTGGTGCTTGTTGTTTAGTGGTTAGGGCGCCAGCCACATGCACTGGGGCTGGTGGGTTTGAAACTGAGCTGGACCAGCTAAATGACAGCAACAACAATAACAAAAAAATAGTGGCGTGTTGTGGCAGGTGCTTGTAGTCCCAGCTAACTTGGGAGGCTGAGACAAGAGAATTGCTTAAGCCCAAGAGTTTGAGGTTGCTGTGAGTTGTGATGCCATGGCACTCTACCAAGGGTGACATAGTGAAATTATGTCTCTAGGAAAAAAGAAAAAAAAGTTTATTTTTTAAAGGAATGGTTAAGATTTTCTAGTGGAAAGAATTGGAGAAGGTATTTCAGGAATATGGAATTTGGAACTACATCCAAGTTGACTTAAGTCCTGGTAAAGCAGGCTAAGTAAATTCAACTTTTAAAAAAAGGTGGTATTTGGAAAAAATAATTCAAAGGTATATAGAGAAGTTATAAGAATAAAAAGAGTACAAAAAATACTGATTACCCTGTACCCAGATTTACCAGCTAACATGTGGTCCTGTTTGTTAACTTTTCCTCCCTCTTGCTTACAGGTAGTCTGTGTGTCACTGCAGGGCGATTGTCAGCTTGAGCAGATGTAACGTTGATGTGACGTTTTTGTCTGATCTAATCGTTGGTAGCGTTTTCCCTTCAGTAATGGATCCAGTCTAGGAGCAAGTATTCATTTAGTCTCCCTTTAATGTGAATTTGATTTTTAAGATTTTAATTCTGTTATGAAATTGGTTTTATTTTTAGATAAAATGTCAGTAATAACTGAATGTTCAACTTGAACATTCCTTATGAACTTCAGTCAATGTAAGAATGTGTTTGCTTATCTGGATTTGTTCTAGACTATTCACTTCTTTTTAAGACTGTACTGACACAGAGATACATATATATTTCCCAAGGGAAAATTAGGAGATTCAAATGGTTTAAAACTATTAAGTTAATTAGGCTAACTATTGGGTTAAGTGGTACTAATTTTCTGGGGGGAATATTTATTTTAATAATTTGTAATTTGGAGCTGGGCGCCATATCTCTGGTTAGAGCACTGGCCCTGCACACCAGGGGTGGCAGATTCGAACCTTGCTTGAGCCTGCTTAACAGAAAAAAACAAACAAACTTCAGGCTGGGCATGCTGGCTCACACCTATAATACCAGCACTCTGGGAGGCTAAAGTGAGTGGACTGCCTGATCTTAGCAGTTTGAGACCAGCCTGAGTTAGAGCAAGACCTCCCATCTCTAAAAATAGCCGGGCATTGTGATGGGTGCCTGTAGTCCCAGGTACTTGGGAGGCTGAGGCAAGAGGATTGCTTGAGCCCAAGAATTTGAGGTTGCTGTGAGCTGTGACGCCATTGACACTCTACTGAGGGCAATAAAGTGAGACTCTGTCTCCAAAAAAAAAATTGTAATTTGGCTTATATTTTATCAAATAGGCACAGAAACATGAAGAAAATAAGACTTCTTGTTAATTGTTGCTCTGAAATAGAATAGCCATTGTTAACATTGTTTTATATCTTTATAAATTTTTTAAAATGGAGTATATGCACATCATTTTTCATTGCAAGGATATAATCAAGCTGTGTAAGATATTGTACTTGATTTGTTGTTTCTTTTCATTGAACCTCATTTTAACAACCTTTTCCCATGCCTAATGCATTTATTTTTAGTCCACCATGGCACTTAAGAGTTATTTGATTTTGGGCAGCACCTTTAGCTCAGTCACCAGGTCCCTGGCCATACAATACCGAGGGTAGTAGGTTCAAACCCAACGCAAGCCTGCTAGACAATAATGACAACTGCAACAAAAAATAGCTGGGCTTTGTGGCCGGCACCTGTAGTCTCAGTTACTTGGGAGGCTGAGGCAAGAAAATTGCTGAAGCCCAAGAGTTTGAAGTTGCTGTGAGCTGTGATGCTATGGCACTCTACCCAGGGCAACAGCTTGAGACTCTTGTCTCAAAAAAAAAAAAGAAAAGTTCTTTGGTTTCAAACAACAGAAACCAAACTGATCAACTTGTGCAAAAGGAATTTATTGAAAGGCTTTTGGGGGCCTACAGAATCCAAGCTACCTGGAAAATAGCACTGGAGAGAAGAGAGCACTAGGCAGCCGTGCATTTCGGATTTCATAGCAGACTGCCACAAACCACTGGTGAAGTCATTCTTCTAGGAAGAGTTAGGGCTATAGTTAGGAGGCCGTCTTGTCAATTGCCTGGCTGAGAGAAGAATCAGCCTTAATGAAAATAGAATCTTCTAAGAACTTTATCACCTTTTCTTTTTTTCTT